TATGCAGCTTTTAAAAAGGGAAGCCCTTTATGTACTGATAAGGATATCAAAAATATATCATTCAGTATCAAAAAGTGAGGTATAACATAATGCATGTAACATGTGACCATCTGAGAAAAAAATCATATGTAGGTTGAATACTGGCTTGAGTATATATAGATTATGTCTGGAAGAATACAAGAAACTGTTAGTGGTTGCCTCTGGGCATAAGAATTTGGCTAGCGGCAGGGTAGGAAAGGAGAATTTTCACTGTATTTTCCTTTTTATCTTTAGAAATATATATCATATGAATATACTACCTGCACATATACATAAATTAAAACAAAATAAAAAGGCACAAGAGAGACAAATTCAGAGAAAGTAAGATCACTCCATCTGATAAGGGGCTAATATCCAAAATATATAAATAACTCACACAACTCAATAACCAAAAAAAAAAAAAGCAATTAAAAAATGGGCAGAGGAACTGAATAAATATTTTTCCAAACATTTACAAATGGTCAATAGGTACATGAAATGGTGTTTAACATCATTAATCATCAGGGAAGTACAAATCAAAATTACATTAAGATACCACCTCATACCTGTTAGAATGGCTGTCATCAAGAATATAAGAGCTACGTGCTGGCAGAATGTGGAGGAAAGGGGATCCCTGTGCACTCTTGGTACGGATGTAAATTGGTGCAGCCACTATGGAAAACAGTATGGAGGTCCATCAAATAATTAAAAATAGAGCTACCACATGATCCAGGAATTGCACTTCTGGGTATGTATCCAAAGGAAATAAAAATAGGATACTGAAAAGATACCTGCACTCCCATGTTTACTGAACCATTATTCACAATAGCCAAGATATAGAAACAACCGAAGTGTCCATGTATGGATGAATGGACAAAGAAGTTGTGATATGTTAAAAAATAAATATATGTGATACACACGTGTGCACACACTCACACACAGAGGAATATTATTCATCCATGAGAAAGAAGGAAATCCTGCCCTTTGTGACAACATGGATGGACCTTGAAGGCATTACACTAAATGAAATAAGCCAGACAAAGAATGGCAAATACTGCATGGTATCACTTATATGTGGAATCCAAAAAAATCAAACTCATAGAAACAGAGAGTAGAAAAGGTGGCCTGGGGCTAGGCGGTAGGGGAAATAGCAATTGGTAAAAGAGGACAAACTTTCGGCTATAAGAGGAATAAGGTCTGAGGATCTAATGTAAAACATAATGACTATAGTTGACAACATTGTATTATATAATTGAAATTCGCTAAGAGAGTAGAACTTTAATATTCTTACCAAAAAAAAAGATAATCTGTGAAGTGATGGATATGTTAATTAAATAGTGGGAATTTTTTCACAATGTATTTCAAATTACCACAATGTGTACTTTAAATAGCTTACAATTTTATTTGTCAATTATATGTCAATACAGCTAGAAAGAAAGAGAGAAAGGGAGGGGAGGAGGGAGGGAGAGAGGGAGGGAGGGAGGGAGGGAGGAAAGCACAGCCCTCCATACCCACCGAATTGTTATGCTGGTAGAGGACCTTGAATGCCTAGAAAATAACAGCCAGCTATGCAGTTTCTGAACTGGGAAGTGACAATTATAAAATATAAATGTGGCAGCTTGCCACATTCTTTGTCTTCTGAAGACAAGAAGGGGCAAGACAAGTTAAGTACTGACCTTCTCCTTACCCTCCTGGCCCTGGATTTCCCTGAGGCATATTTTTAGCAGAGGGAATGGAAGAAAGGGACAAGGAGATATTGTGAAGGGAGACTGAATGAAGGGTTGGTCACTAACTGGATGTGAAAAGAAAAATAAAGAACATCAAAGATGATCTTGAGCTTTTCAATCTGAGAGTGAGGTTGATTTTAAATACGTTGATTTTCAGGTAGTGATGAGTCAATAAGCAGCCGTGAGTTCAAACTGCAAGTGGAACAATATTGGGGTTGGAATACAAAGCTGACGTATTCATTTCATAGGGCTGCTGTAACAAATCGCCATGACTGGGCAACTTCAAACAACAGAAGTTTATTCTACCATAGTTCTGGAAGCTAGTAGCCTGAAATCAAGGTGTCAGCAGGGCCATATCCCTCAGAAGGCACTGGGAGAGAATCCTTCCTTGCCTCCTCCAGCTTCTGGTGGCTCCTGGCATTCTTTGGCTTGTGGCAGCACTACTGCAGTCTCCGTCTCTGTCATCACATGGCCTACTCCTTTGTGTATTTGTGCCCATGTCTCCCCTCTTATACCAACACCAGTCATTGGATTTGAGCCCAACTTAAGTCCAGGATTATCTCATCTCTAGATCCTTGACTTGGATGTATCTTTTGGGGGGACACTATTCAAAACACTACAACAAAAAACTCAACAAAGAATAGATGTTTTCTCTGAAAGAGTAAATAGAGGCTAATACCGTGGATTCAGGTACCTCCAAATTTAGAAAATGGGTAAAGGAAGTGGTGGCAAAAAAAAATAGAAGAGAGCTGAGATATAAGAGAATTAGGACCAAGGAAGAGAGAAAGGACTTCCCTGGTGGTCCATTGGTTAAGACTCCATGCTTCTACTGTAGGGGGCACAGGTTCGATCCCTGGTCAGGAAACTAAGATCCCATATGCCACATGGCACAGCCCCCCCCCCCCAAAAAAAAAAAGGAAGAAAGAAAAATCAAGACCGAAAGGTGATCTATTCCATCAAATATGGCAAAGAACTTAAGAAAATAAGTGCTGGGATGCCCGGGAAGGGAAGAATTCATATGAGCATACACATGTACATGTACACGTACACATACCCACAAACACATAATCACAAACAGAACCACAGCTTGTTAAGAATTTTTGTAATGAATAAATTTTAAAAAGTGGTTCTTCAGCTTCACTAGGGAAAAACAAATAATTCCAGGGTCCTACTAAATAATACATGAAAGAACTATCCACATGTCCAGATCAAAGGAAAAAATAACTAGAAAATTATATAAAGATGTCTAGTTTGCCAAAGGCAACATACTAAAAAAAAAAAAAAAAAATTAGTCCTTAACACGGGGGCATCAACTGGTCATAGAGCAGAGAGTGGGAATCAAAAGAAATGGCTTTTGTCGAGGTCACCAGTAGCATGGCCTAGAATTTTAAGAAGCTGACTGTTAGAAAGACAACGTAGACCTCTTCAGGCTCCCAACACAAAGGACATTTACTGGAATAGATTGGATGAAGTCATCTGGAATAAAGGTTTGTGAGCAGGGGCTAAGATGTATTTCTATATAAAGAAGAAGACAGACTTTGGTAACCACTCATGAGTATGATAAGTTATACTCTTACAGTACAGTTTTATTGTAATTAAAAATATAAAGCAATCCTGAAAGTGCTACCTTTTAAATGATTCACTATGAAGAAATGCAAACTAGTTATGGCCACAAAATGAGGTCTCTGGGACCCTGATTTGGTCCCTGCCTCTCTCCTCGCTCAAGCTCTGTTTCTTGCGCATGCCCAGACTTGCCACAGCCCTGACATTCACCGCATCTTTCAACGGGATTCCTCTTGCCTGACTACGGCACTCCCACATGCTTTTTAAGGCTGAATCCAACTACCAAGCAGTTACCCTGGAAAATTCTGTAGTAAATGATTCTATCATTTGAAAAAATAACTATCCTCCTGATGGGCAAGGTGAGATTTTATACCACAACCATTAGACAAGAGACCCTTATAGAAATAAGAAGACAGTTTAATAGATGGTTTTCCAAATAACTACCGAGTTCCAACATTTTTTATGCTCATTTCTATCTAATCCAGTTGCTACTTTCTAAAGACACATATGAGAGCTTATCAATTACAATTAAAAACTATAGTTAAAATTTTTCTAAGGTTAAGGAAGTACAGAAATGTTTATTAGTTGGTTGAGAAGTGTTCATTTACTTGAGCATTGAATTTACTAAGCTTCCAAGGGGGAACTAAAACCCTTAAACTAGATACAAGAAAACTTCTCGGTTTCTCAAATACCTCAAAATAAAATTTGCTCTCACAGTTACTTAAATCATTTGATTACAAGCAACAAAATATATGGTCTCATGTTCAATCACATTTACTTAAAACTCCGCTTGTAATTCACCTGAATAAAGCAAGGAATGTACAGACTTCATAGGCATGAAAACTTGTTTGCAAATGGATTTCTACAAAACAGCATGCTCCAGGAAAATTTGGGATTAAAGAGAGCAATAGTGAGAATGTTTAAGAAAAAGGTACACCTAGAACAGTGCCTTGAACATAAAAGTATATGATAGTAACTACAATATATGCTATATAAAGACTCTTTTTTATTATAGAGTATTTATGTATCAGGCAGACACAAGGATTTCTCCCCTGAGAATCTCAGAGTCTGGTCAAGACCTGACTATATCTAGTTAGAAACCCACGAATGCAACATAAAAATTTGTTGCTGTTTTAAAAAAAAGTGTTCAAAAATATGTATTTCGGGCTTCCCTGGTGGCGCAGTGGTTGAGAGTCCGCCTGCCAATGCAGGGGACACGGGTTCGTGCCCCGGTCCGGGAAGATCCCACATTCCGCGGAGCGGCTGGGCCCGTGAGCCATGGCCGCTGAGCCTGCGCGTCCAGAGCCTGTGCTCCGCAGCGGGAGAGGCCACAACAGTGAGAGGCCCGCGTACAGAAAAAAAAAAAAGTATTTCCATTCCTAATACATGCATCATGCAAGAACCTCCAGTTGGGCCTTAATAAACCACAGCTTTAAGGTTTATGGATGATTTATTTGCTTGTATATAAAAGCTCCTTAAAACTGACATATTTATTCTTTACCGCATTGCAGAACTCTACATATAGAATCTCTTCACAGTACCAATGTTATTAGTAACTAGTTATTCATCTTATTACAGATTAGTAACTGTTACTGTTAGCAGCCTATGTGGGAAAGGACAAGTTAGTTAAGAGGAAAAATGGATGGTCCCCTGCCCCATCCTAAAAATAAAAAACAAAACAAATTTACGTACCTCCTCTGTTTCATCCAGACTTGTGGATTTCACCACACAAGAAGCTGGCCTCTCCTGGATGTGAGCAAGGTCCTGGGGGGCTCTCTGAGACCCTGGCATTGGAGGCAGTGGAGCACGCCTCTTCTTGGGTGCATCCGATGGCAGGGTGTTTGAAATATACTGTTTGGTCATGGTATTGCTCCTCGTAAAAGCTGAACGATGCTTACTTACTAGAGGAGTTGCAGGGGCACTGGCGGTCTAATAAAGAAGGAAAAAGCAAAATCTACAGGTAATTCCAAGACGAAAAGCACGTGCATTTAAAAACAGAGTAGAAGAATCTTATAAAATGCTACATAAGAAAATACGTACTTGCTCCCGCTTTTTCTTACTGCGTTGAAAAAGGCTGAAAAACCCTTTATTTTCTTTATCCTTCATAAGGTCTAGGTTTTGTGATATTTGGCAGGTCTCTAAAATAGAAGAAAAGCACCTTACTTTTGCTTGAGGGGTTATATGTTCACGTCCGAGGTGAACTATCCCTCAATTACTTTCCCTTGATAACTTTATCTAATGATAAAAGCTACTAATTATGCTCTACTATGAACCACGCACTCTGCTCAGCACCTCATATTTTAATTAATTCTCAAAGCAACAAGGAAATTTAGTATTATTGTTCCTGTTCCACAGCAGAGGAAACTGAAGCGACTCAAGAGTCTGTGTTTTATCCATAACTACCAACATTTCAGAAGTAAAAAGGACACTTCGAATTAAATGAGATATGAAGTTGCTATCATACAGTTTGTCCCTTTGTTGATTTTGAATTATATATTTTGTCTCAGAGCTAAACTATTCTGAAATATTTAATTCTCCAAAACATGATTCATTGTAATTACTCAGCACTCTGTTAAATGTTTTAAAAACTTTATTTCTTTAATACAGTGGTCCTGAACTGGTGGTGATTTTGCGCGCACACACACGCACATCCCGCCAAAGACGTTTAACAAAACCTAGGGACAATTTTGGTTGTCACAACTGGGGGAAGGGTGAAGAGAATGTGCTACTGGCATATACTGGGTACAGGCTAGTGATACTGCTAAACAAACTACAATGCACAAGACAGCCCCCCGGAACAAAGAATTATCTGGCCCAAAATGTCAATAGTGCCGAAATTAAACCACAATTTAAGCAGAATGGCAAACGTCAAACCTCAAAGTTGTATAGGTAACATTTCATTTTCTAAAAAGTGTTTCCTAATGTCAACTGAAAGGGCCAAAAACAATGACAAACCCAGTAGTGCTGAGTCACCCTTGCCCAGACTGTCTCTAAATACCATTTCCCACTAAAAGGGACCATCTCAGGAGCCAGCGTGATATGGTTTCTCCTGGCCAAAGTCAGGACAATTTGGGCATCATAAGAATATCTCAATAAATTAAAACATAGCACATATGTTTAATTTCATGAATTCATAATGATACTAAAAAAAAACCCTGATTCTCACTGTCCATTGTTTTAAAAATTGATTAAGGGAAAGAATCACACTTTTATCCTGTCTTTTCTGAATGAACTCTATCTAGGTAGACAAATAGCTGACATAGGGAAATCTTCTTTTTTAGAAATATCTCAACTGATAATTAAAGGAATATTTGTAACAGATTATATTTATTTTCTAACTCCTAATTAGCCAAGACATTGGCACTGATGTTCTCAGCAGCACCGTTCACAATAGCCAAAAGATGCAAACATCTTAAGTGTCCATCAACAGATGAACGCATAAAGAAGATGTGGTACATATATACAATGGAATACTACTCGACCATAAAAAGAATGAAACAATGCCATTTGCAGCAACATGGATGGACCTAGAGATTATCATACTAAGTGAAGTAAGTGAGGAAGAGAGAGACAAATACCATATGATATCACTTATATGTGGAATCTAAAATATGACACAAATGAATCCACCTATGAAACAGAAGCAGCCTCACAGACATAGAGAACAGACTTGTGGTTGCTAAGATGGGGGTGGGGAGGGGAAGGGATGGACTGGGAGTTTGGAGTCAGTAGATGCAAACTATTATATATAAAATGGATAAACAACAAGGTCCTACTGTATAGCACGGGGAACTATATTTAATATCTTGTGATAAACCATAATGGAAAAGAATATAAAAAAGAATGTATGTATATGTATCACTGAATCACTTTACTGTACAGCAGATATTAACACAACGTTGTAAATCAACTACAGTTAAACAAAAGACATAAGCAAAGATTATTGATGGCTAACATCAAAAAAAGATAACTTGTTATTACAGGTCTGTTAATGGAAATACACAATACCATCCATGAAATATTCTTACCAAAAATATCTCACCCAAATCTGATCAAGTCTCTAAATTTAACAATCAATTTACAGGAAGCAGAGGATAAAGAAACATGTAAGTGGCACCACAGGATGCAATCAGCAAAATTCTGAATGTGGGAAACACCATAAGACAAATGACCTGGTTTCTTCAACAGATAAGTTGCAAATTTTAAAGAGAGAGAGACACACAGGAGTAGGGATTTATAAATTTTAAAAAGATTTCTCCTGTGAAACACATATGGGTTTTATGGTAAACCACAGTATAATTTCAGTGACACTGGAGACAAAGTACTATATATTGACATTTGTGGGATATATCTGTAGCAGAACTTACAGCTCAATGTAAAGTCTCAAATACATAGCCCTTTCTTAGGAGTAAATGTATAGTCTTTATTTAAAGGAAATGTTTAAAAAATTAAATAAATTATGACAAAGTAGGAGTTATTCCATGGAAGCAAACATAGTTAACACCAATAAATACATTAATGCAATTTTCCTCAATAAGACACTAAAGGAGAACTATATTTCACAGATTAAAACTTCATAAATCTGATGCTTCAAATATTAAATAAGCACTATGCATGCTATACAATGCTGACAATGCTAACAATTAATAGTAATAGGCATGTGGACAGCACTTTGTGGTTAAAGATTTTTTCACAAGCCTAACTCACTCTTTAGAACAATCCTATGAGGTAGGTGTCACAAGTTATTATTCTGATTTCTTTTTATAAGTTAGGGAATGTAAAGAATTGGAAGTAGATGGTACTATCTCATTACACATCTGAGGCCTTAGTGATGGTGACTAGAAAGTCTGAATAACTTGCACCAAGAAAAACAGACATTAAATAGTAGAACTGAATCCAGTATCCATTTAAAGATGATGTGTAATACCTCTGACTTTTTTTTTTAAGAAATGCTACTCTTTCATTTTAAGATAGACTCCTCCATTAATTGAATGTAGATATACAATTAAATTTAGTTGGAACAGTAAATAGAAAGTTCACATGGTGGTGCAGTACAATAACTATAACCAGAGTATTCATGTAGTTATTTTTGGTAAAGCAATTTCCAGGCATCTGGGCATCCTCTACTCTGGTTAACTCCTAAGTCTTCACCTAAAGCTCACTTTCAGGGATCACTACAAGTCAGAGTTAAACACTAAGACAAGGAGTTGAGCTTACTTAGAAAAGCAACTCAAATACTGTAGTTTCCTATTTCCCAAAGAGAGGCTGTAAATAATTGCACACAAAGTTCTAAGCCTTCTGATAATATCGGACAAAATAAGGAGGCAGGAGCATTTACAACATTTGGATTGACCCTGTAGATTTTGACACTGTAAAAGGAGCTTTTTTTACATTTTCCTGTTACAATCTCTTAAGATTATGTTCACAACATTTAATACTCTGCATAAACCACATACTTTTTTTTAGCTGGAGGGGATATTAGAAATCAATGCATTCAACACCTTCAAACCGAGGCCAACAAGATTATGGAATTTGCTTTCGGTTATGTATGTAGAGACTGGCAAAGTTAGAAGCAAAAGCCAAGTACAAGTAACAGAATGCTGTTGCTGGGAGAACCAGAGGACACTTTTTCCTACCTCTAGATTATTATAGAAGTGGAAGGTGAGATCCACACAAATAAAGCATTTGCCCTATCAGTTTGCCAATGAGCTTGAAAGCTAGTGTAGTGTCAGAATTAACATGCCTATCTTCTGATTATTAGCCAGTATATACTTTACAAACATAAGAATTTTCAACTCCTTTGATTAGGCTAGTCTTCATGACAGCCGCTAAAAATAATCACACTATTACTGATGTGGGCTTAATTCTTGGAATTGTGAGGCTCATTGTGTTATAAAAAAAATTGGAAGTGGTAAAGAAAGAAGATTCCAATAATCCAATAATGTATAATGTGTACACTTTATTTTTTTTTTTAGTAGGGGGTAATTATTATAGTAATCAATTATCTGAGCCTAACCTTTTTTAATGGGGAAACAGATTTCCAGACTTTATTATTAATGGCTAATTTTTAATAAAGTTCTCCTCTATGAAAGTAATACATTTCCATTAAAAAATTCTATAATATAAAGAAAAGAAGGATATATATAAAATAGACCTACTGTACAGCACAGGGAACTCTACTCAGTACTCTGTAATGACCTATATGGGAAAAGAATCTAAAAAAGAGTGGATATATGTATAACTGATTCACTTTGCTGTATACCTGAAACTAACACAACCTTGTAAATCAAAAATTTTTTAAAATAAAGTAAACTTTAAAAAAAATAAAGAAAAGGAGGATGAAAAAAATTCACCCATAGCCCTACCACCTAAAGGTATCAACTCTTAAATTTTTTTTGTATTTCTTTTCAGAAATTTCATGTAAAAGCTTTTTTTAAAACATACTGTATTAAACATTTAAAAAGCTTTAAAAGCTGATTTTAGCATAAGCACTTTCCATTTATTACAAAATATTCACAAACAATTTAATGGTTGCAAACATTTCCTATGATGAATATACCCTTATAATTCTGAATAACTGTTTCAAAAGAAATAATCTGAGACTCTTCCATGGAACCACCAAGTTATCAGTATATGTACACAATAAAGATCGTAGCAACATCATTTTCTGTCTGAGAGTCAAGAATATGTTTTTGTTATTCTTAAGATGATATTAATTTTCAAGCAATTATTGAAATATAATTACTGAAATTAAATTCAGAAATCAAGGTAGGGGGCTTTAAACTATTTTTCAGGAAAAAAAAACCAAAGACTTTCAAAATTAAAGTCTTTTACAGAATGTACATATTAGTAATGATAAGAAAACAGGTAAAATTAGCAGCTTGTTTTCAATTTACCCAATAGAAATAGAGATTTCATATTATAATCTTGTTTTCAATTTACCCAATAGAAATAGAGATTTCATATTATAATCTGTTTCTACTGATTCATGTGTCTTACCTTGTAAAGATGACTTATTGAAGGCAGTAACAGAAGTGGCTACAGAAGGAGGGGGTAAAAGAGGGTAAATTGGCTGAAAAGATAATGTTTGTTCAAGTATAAAACATCACTGAGTTGAAATAGTCATTTATGGATTATTTAAAGCCACAATCTCAGGATAAAGTTTGAAGTTCTCTATACACAGAGGATGTAAGTAATCATTCTTCACTAAACTTTTATTTCGCCTAATAAAACAGATTTGTGTTGAATAAACTTTTATTTACCTATCAGACATCATAGAAACCAACATTATCTAAAATCTCCAAATTTTAATACATTATTTCTATAGATTTATACTCTAAGCTATTCCTATTTAGAAGATTTTTGTAAGTAGACGGATTCATTTTATAAGCCAGTTGATTTTGGGTGCTGAACTTAGAAAAAAATTTGTCAAGAAACTCCCAAATTTGAAAGATAATTAAGACTCAGACAAATCCATGGCAAGTCCATTGTAATTCACACTTCTTTAGAACAACGACTTTACATGTAAACTTTAATTTTCTGTTTAAATCTTAAAACCACAAAGAATTAAGTTAAATTACAGCCCAAATATTCATAGGTAGATGGAAAGGTGTAAGATGTGGATGACAGCTAAGAAAGACATGTTTTTATTCCAATTTGAATAACTGAACTCAAGTTAAATTTTACTACATTTAGTTTTCTCTTCTTATTCCCAGTGACGTGTAGTGACTTTACTACAGGATCCATTAACGTGCCATTATGAACTTGAGAACACTTACACATAAACACAAAACACGCACATATATGCACCAAATGAATAACATGAAAAGTCTACTTACCTCTGCTGACATCCATGGCATATAATTCTCTTAGTCCCAGCTCATTAAGAGATTTTGTCAAGTCGAGGGGCTCCTGAGACTGATAGTCCTTCAATAACAGTGTATGTAATGGATCAAACTCACATTTGCTGCATATAACAGGGGCAAGTTCTTCAAGTGGTGCATGTGGGCTAACTCTCACTATCGTCTTTTGCGTTTTCTTAAAATTGATCACTACTCTCACAGTTTTCTGAAACACAGATTAAAGCCAGAGTTATACCATGATTTACTGAAACAAACTTTCTACAATGACATCTAGAACAATGAGATAATCTACAATTATATATTGGTATGATAAACAGTGTTTTTCTACTTTGTTGTAAAATTTTCTTTTTGATTAATGTTACTTCCTAAGTCCAAACCAGATTCTTAGAAATAGTTTGCTTATTAAGTAATCTAGATTAAATTCATAACTTTTGTAAAGTATTAAGTAGATTTAAATCCCAAAAGAAACATAAAAGCCTCATATCTAGTCCTACAGATATTTTTGCTTTATTCCATATAATATTTACTTTATAATTAGCAAACAGGGCTTCCCTGGTGGCGCAGTGGTTGAGAGTCCGCCTGCCGATGGAGGGGACATGGGTTCGTGCCCCGGTCCGGGAAGATCCCACATGCCGCGGAGCGGCTGGGCCTGTGAGCCATGGCTGCTGAGCCTGCACGTCCGGAGCCTGTGCTCCGCAACGGGAGAGGCCACAACAGTGAGAGGCCCGCGAACCCAAAAAACAAAAAAAACAACAAAACAACAAAAAAACAAAATTAGCAAACATACATAATAATAGAATTATATATGTTTTATTCTATCGTTTTTAGTTGAGAAATATTTATCTTTCTAATGGTCAGTTGTCTCAATGAAAAAAACAGGGATATTTTAATTAAGACATTAACATTTTTGAACTTCCCTTATTTGAGGTAAGATAAACGAGTTAATCCCTTATAAAGAGCTTAACACAGTGTCTGGCACATTGTAAATTATCAATAAGTAAACATTAACTATTGTGACTACCTATTGTTGTTGCCACTATTATTATTACTACTTTGGTTAATTTTAATATATTAGTAAAGAATATTATAATAGTCCTCATTTAAATATTTAGTACTGCTAATTCAAAATTATTGAGAAGATTTTAAGCATCTCCACATTTTAATGTAACTGAATTAAATTCTATATGTAAATGGAATTTAGAAACATGTGACCATCTTAAGTGAAACCTACAGATTGCAGATCTTCAAAGTTTAACATGTATTCATAAAACTAAAATACCATATATAGTCCCATGTTATAGCATAAATAATACTATTTCCATTTAGATAAGTAGCATGTATATCTTGCTAGAAAATAGCCCAATATCCTGGTGAATATTTAATATTCATATTTTATAGAAAGCAAATGTTTTAGTATTGTCCAAAAAAGTTAATTTTTTGAAGAAAATATGAGAATGTATTACTCAAGTCATATATAAATTAACTACTAATTTAATATGTAAACCTTTATATATTTTGTGAAGTTAAAAATGGTTAATATCATTCCTAATGAAAGAGTATTTCTAGAAACCCATAAACTTCTACCCCTGTTGCTTACAGAAAAAGAACAATTTTATAAAAAAAGGAGAATTGATGATATTAGAATCACTGTGGTTAAAATTTTTTGTTTAAAATTCATACATCACAGAAAACTGAGCCATCATGTAGCTCAAATTAACAATAATTTAAATAAATTACAACTACGGCTTACCAAAGCCGAAAAATTATTTTAATAAATTCTTAAAGGAATTTGCATTAAAAGGGTATAAAACCTTTTTTAATATAAACTTTTTAAAAGAGTAGCTTAAAATATAGTCATAATTGTCAGATTCTGATACTATCATATAGATCACTTTAGAGCATCTAAAATCTGAAGTATTCCCCAAATTCTAGTTAATCCAAGGATAAACAACTAAGTGAATTGTAAACAAAGTGGCCCAGGAAAACACAATAGCCATGTTTACATCGAATTTGACCAGGAAAGGCAATTTTATTTCATTTGCAATGAGCTGCAGATAATGACTAAAAAAATCAACTTAGTATTTTAGCTGTGAGACACCAAAATTTACAGTGAAAATCTTACCTCTGGTATTATAGGTGTAGGTTTTTTCTTATCCAAAATTTTTGGCTTTAAAATTACTTTTTCTACCTCCAACATTCCTATTGGTGTGTTTGGCTTAAATTTAATGGGGTTCTTTTCAGCTGACAGCAGATCAATTGTGTGACTTGATGGATTTAAGTGATACTGTGCACAGAGGAATATCAACAAGTCCATCATAGGTTTACTGTAAAACAAGAGTAATACTGATCATAGAACAATTTCATTAACTGTTAAATTTATTGTTTCAAGCTTTTTTCCTAGGGCCTCTTGTCCTCAGTAGATAAAGCAAGGCTGCAAAATAGTATGTGTGAAAGCAGCTTAAAAATCTAACTACAAGGTATTTAAGCAGACAAAATTATAATAGTTTAAAACTTCTGAATAGTATTCAAGAGAGCTTGGATCCTTGTGTTGGTTTAAAAATTCTGTATATTCTACCTGCCAACTTGTCTTCATATCATAGATTTCAGTAGAAGGAAAAGCCCTTCCTTATCCAAAAGCAGTCACTTGGTTTAGCAGATGCTCCTTTACAATGTCATTTGGAATATGAGCAATCTTTAGCTTATAAACTGGTTCTCATAAGCATAAAGTATTATCACCCTTTGGGCTTTAGAAAGCATAGAAAGAATCTCCATGAGGAAGCGCACAAATCCTAAAGAAGAGTGTCGTACAGATTTCTTAATTCATTCAAACAGCATTTAATATTTTCTAGGCACTGGAGACATAGTACAACTGTTATAGCATACCTTCTCTCATAGATCTAATACTCTGCTAGATGGACTAGACCAAATGTCAGCAAACTACAGTCTGCAGGTCAAAGTGGGCCCACAGCCTGTTTTTTGTAAATAAAGGTTTACTGGCACACAGCCATGCTCATTTGTTTACATAATATCTAGGGCTACTTTTGTGTTACAATGGCAGATTTGAGTAGATGTGACTGAAACTGTACGGCCCACAAAACCTAATATTTTTACTATCTGGGTCTTGACAGAAAAAGTTTATGGACTCTTATGCTAGACAATGAAAAAATAACCAAGTAAATGTATGAGATAATTTTAAATAGTGATTAAGTGTTAAACACGAATGGTAATACATAACCTATCTCTATAGGGATAATCCAATTTGAGATTAATCCAACTTGAGATTCTGAACTTGAGATTCAGAGACACTTCTTAATTTTTTGCTTCCCTTTCCACAGACTCCAACTGTTGACACAGACTTTTGTTTCCATTCACAGCATCAACAGAACAGTGTGGTCTCCAATTCTTTTTCTTTTTTTTTTTTAACATCTTTATTGTAGTATAATTGCTTTACAATGGTGTGTTAGTTTCTGCTCCAATTCTTTCTTAACTGTCAGCCTTTAAGGAAAGCACGTCAAAAAATCTTTTGTATTATGTGCTTTCCTCAAACATCTGGAGATCCTAAGCTATTAGATTGTATTTAAGACTGAGGCACTGAAACACTGTGTAAAAGTCCTATTTTCATGAATTGAGGTATATAGGTTGATGGGCTTCATTTGAGGGTAATCAGGTGGCCAGCTATTTTTTTTTCCAATGGGAGGTATAACTATCAATAAAAAGTAATTCTCCAATTTCTTGAGTAGATATATGAACCCAGCTACCAGCTTTTTAGAAAGTTGACAGGGAAATGAGGCTAAAAATCTCACTGTTCAGCATGCTATTTTTAATTTAGTAATCTGTTTTCATATGCACCTCATTCCCAGTCTCCTAAGTGGAACTCCCAGGTATGTAGCCTCTCTGGTTCAACATTCAGACAGGCCGTGTCCTGCTGGGGAAGGATTAGTTGTCTGGCACTGTGTGGTCTTGAGGTCAAACATTTTATATAGATTTTCAAACCATCCCCTGGATTCAGACCCTACCTCACCCTCACCTTCTACGGTTGTTGCCCATTCTTAAGCCATTCCAGTTGATTTGGGAAAAAGAGGTATATTTCATAATAGTACACTCACCTCCCTTCTCTCTCCCACATGCAAGTTGTACCCATCATACATATACCAAGAAAAATAAATAAATAAAAGACTAAGTCCCTCAGCAAAAAAATGTTTTCTGGAATATGTTTCAATACCCAAAATACATTTCCCATATCTTTATTAAATGCTTGCACAGTAATATTTAGGAGTTTTATGTCCTTCTCTTGAGCTATCTAGTATGTTCATACATAAATTTTCTATAATTTCCCAAATTTTGGCTTTGGATAGTACATATTTAATTTCATTGAGAGAAAAACTAGCATAATGGTATTGTTGAAGTTCATTTTTTCGTAACATAGTACTCTATGATAGCAATTTGATTCTACGTACCGATTCTAGATTTGGAAAATGGTACTTCCTTCCCTGATAGTAAATAAACTTAAGAAGGATTAGGTAATGCCTAGAAAAATACAATATAATTACAAATACAGTTAAGCTGGAAGAGGAGAGAATTTTCACTGCCAACTAAATGGAGAGCTGTCCACTGTGGTCTATGAGTAAATAGTGCTACGTTCAGATTATATTTCTCTTTCTCTCTATATATAAATGTGCCAACTAATTCATGGAAAAATTCTAAACTTTACACTTCAAACATCTTTTACTTTCTTAAATGTACAGTTCTTTAGAGTCTCTGCTGGAAATATACACTAAAACTTAACAAGACAAAAATAGTGATTAGTTTAAAGTTTTGTTTTGTTAATCCCTATTTTTGTGCTACCATTTTTTCATCCCTTTATGTACAAACATATAAACCTTTAAGGAAAAAGATACTTTAAAAATTTTTAAAGATAATAACAATTTGACTCTTATTTAAACCTTCTGATATGCCTTAATGAATTACTGTATTTCTATCTGTCATATATAAATTTTCTAATTTAATAAAGGTGATGGATAATGGGCCAAGAATATTATAATTATGGCCTATTCCTTTAGTCAATATGGTCATCTATAATCTTTGCACACTACAGTATATATAGTATACTATACTATACTTTTTTTGTAGCCAAAACGTTGCATGCTGACTAGAACCTTTGAACTCACTGCCTAAATGTCTTCTAATAAACGACTCTTGGAAAGGCAAGTAAAAGTTACATATCTTCTTTATAACCTTATCCTCTCATTCTATAATTACAGGTTCAACTTTTTATTCAATAATTCCAGAAGCCAATTTTGTCTGGAAAATATTCCTATTCCCAGGCAGATAAATGCAAAAGACCAGAAAGTTCTCTAACAGACAAAAATACAGATGGGGACTTAATACTGCCTATGATAATGATATTTCAAATTTCTGGGGAAAGAACTGAACGTTCAGTAACTGGTATTGGGAAAAATCTGATGGAAAAAAAAGCTATGTATCTACCTTATTCCTTACACTAAAGTAAGCCCAAGTGGACCAGCTATATAAATATGAGAATATAATTCTGGGCAGGGGGAAGCAGGGGAACCAAAAAGAAATCCATCTTCATGTAGTTTATGTTCTAGAGCAGGGCTGTCCAACAGAACTTTCTGCAATGATAGAAATGCTCTGTAACTGTCCTGTCCAATACTGTGGCCACTCACTGCATGTAGCTACTGAGCATCTGAAATACATTGAGCTAGTGGACTAACAAACTGAATTTTTCATTTCACTTAAATTTAAATAGTTTAAACACACATGTGGTGAGTGGCCACTGTATTGGACAGAGTAGCTCTAGTGCACTGATTCTCAAGTGTGATTCACAAATCAGCAGCATCAGTGTTGCTGGGAACTTGTTAGAACTGCAAATTCTCAAGCCCCAGTCCAGATCATTGAATCGGAGACTCTGGGGTTGAGGCACGGGAATACATGCTTTGACAAGCACTCCAGCTGATTCTGACACATACTATAGTTTTCAAACCAGTGATCTGGAGAGAAGAGGATAAAGAAAAAAGTAAATTATATAGTATACCAGATAATGATAAATGCGATGATGAAAGTAAGATAAGGAAGGAGATTAGAAAATGTCCTAACTGAAAAACTGACATTGGAAAAGAGACCTGAATGGAATGGGATACTGGGGAAAGAGTGTTCCAGGCATAGTTGACAAGTGCAAAGGCCCTGAGGCAGAAGTGTGCTCCACATGTTTAAAGAAAAACAGAAACCAGCCTGCTGGGGTAAAAATAGTAGACATGATATCAGAGTGATTTTCTTATAGATCTGGAAGGCCTGGTAAAGACTTGGGATTTTATGAAGTGAGGTAGAAAACCACAAAAGGGTTCTGAGCAGTGATGGGATCTATTTTACATTTTTAAAGGATAATATTCTGATTGCTGTATTCACAGTAGCCTGAGGTTACAAAGCTATTGCAAAAATTTAGGTGAGAGAAGGTGATAGCTTAGACTAGTCAGGTTCCAGATATATTTCATAAGGAGGTGATAGGATTAAATCGAATGCGGGAAGAAAAGGGTAAGATGACACAAGAGACAGAAAGAGGAGCCAGCCAATGGGAAGAGGCCAGGATTGCAGGGACACTACCAAGTGGCAGCGTTGCTAAAAGGACTCCATAGAAGGCCTAAAATGCTCATTTAAGTTATTTGGTATGTGATATACTTACTAACCTCTCCCTGGTGACCCGCAAACCATCGCTATGGTCCTGGCAGCTTTGAGAGGGGTTAAATCAAGGAGGGAAAGGACATTTCAAAAAGTAGAGACTGGAAAATAAGAATCCAAAAAAAGGATATAAAGTCCAAGCCAGAGGCGGCTCCAAGAACATAAACCCTTGGGAATTTACAATAATATTATAAAGGGTATTTATGGAACAGGGGTTCAGGCCAATCTTTCAGAGACCTCAAAGAGCAGAATGACCTAAAGATGTTATCTGGGTTCCATTTATACCTAGATGTGAACTCCTCTCTATCAGGACCACCTCTTAGCAGACTTTCTTCCCAGGACCTAATACAATGTAGGTCTGGGTCATTGAATGTGAATTTATAGGAACCAATGATTATTTATCTCTTAGGTAATTTTGCTTAAACATCCATGAGTTCAAACACATAGCAGATAATATGCATTTGAGATTTCTGTTCAGTGTCTGATGCATGAAAAGATGAAATTGTTGAAAGGAGATTCACATGCTTTAAAAAAACCCACATAGGTGAGAAAACTGTTTTGCTTTTGGTTTTTTAATTAACAAACTTGACTAGTAGCATTGTTGTGTCTAAAGCCAGTACATCTTTAC